TATTCAATTGTTTTGGACATCTGAAAGTGATCTTTGTTTCCCTGTAAGCTTTTTTTTCCTACATATAATCTCTAAATGCTCGTAACAAAAGACTTTGTCAGTTATTTTATTTTTCTATTTTAAAGAAAAGCCAGGGAAAGATTGCGTCCTTCGGTAATCGGCATTTGGTTACTTGCTCTGTAATGTAAGAAAAACGCTTTTGTGACGCAAAATCAGTAACAAAATTAACACAAAATTGAATAAATTGGCATAAATATGTTCACTTATCTATAACTCAAGAGTGTTTTAGTTAAAAAACGAACGATAACTAGGATATAAGGAAAGCATGAAAGACAAGATGAAAAAATTAAATGCGGCTTGTTCTACGTGTATAATTACTCGTATGTAACTCACAAATTGCTTTTTGTGAAAGGCAAACAGAAAACGAGGTGGTACTAATACTGTCGATCATAATGTGTTTATCTACAATTAAGCGACAAACAATATTTGAAAACACCAATGGATTTCAAGTAAGGCGTTAACCTCTTAATGACGGTGGCAGTAATACACATACTTCGATCAGTACCTGATACTGATCTTGCTTGCACACTTTGTATTGATATATATACTTCATTAACTGATCATGAGTATTAGGACCATTGATATGCTGATACTTTATGAGCTTAAAATCCTTGCAGACTTTTTATTGATGGATACGGTACCTTATATTTGTAGAAACAAAAGTTAACGGCTCTGGTGGTTCGAGCCTTTGCGTCATTCAACCAGCCACTCCCTCAACACAGGTTGGCTTGACCATTGTCTATTTCATCGTGTTCTTTGTGGCTTTGGTAGGAAACGCTCTTGTAATTTTTGTGGTCCATCGCCACCCAAAACTGAAGACCACGTTTAACATGCTTATCGTCAACATGGCGGCCTCCGATATCCTTGACGTAATTACTGCTATCCCTCTGTCCATTGCCTACCTGTATGAGAGCGTAAAGTGGTTCTCTGGAGGGTTTGGTGCCTTTCTATGTAAGACCTTGCCGTTTCTTGCCTTTGTTTCCATTGGTACATCTGTCCTGACATTGACGGTCATGACCTTTGATCGCTACCGTGCAATCGTGCACACAATGAGGAGGCCGCTGACGCCAAAGCTCACCGCTGTAGCAATCGGCTCAACATGGGTTATTTCAGGCCTGGTGTTTGCCAGTGAGCTCTACAAGTACAAGCTTTTCAACGCAGCGGGTCAAGTCATGTGCGCATCAAGATGGGTTGAAGATGTTCAAGAGTCGAACAAAATCACGATGTACGAGTTGATCGTTCGGTTTGTCCTGTTATACCTGATCCCTCTTCTCACCATGGCCGTTCTGTATACTAGGATTGTGCTGCATCTGTGGAAACGAAAGGCTCCTGGAGAGCACATTGATAAAACCCATCAGCGCATCGAAAAGCAAAAGCGCAAAGTTGTCACCATGCTGGTCACCATAGTAACAATTTTTGCCATTTGTTGGCTTCCAGCACACGTCAATCACTTTCTGGTGACTTTTAACTTCAATGTGTACAGCTGTCTACCTACGTCGTTGGTTCTGTCACTTTATTTTTTGACGCACGCCAATACTGCTATCAACCCGTGTCTGTATCTCGTCTTCAATGAGAGCTTCCGTGAAGGATTCAGACACCAGATTTACCACAGGCTCAGCGGGCGTCTTTTTAACGGAAGTGATCGTTTCTCCACTTCCAGAGCGGAGGCTATAAGCGCAAGTGCCACGGCCTCCCACATTTCTCTTGTGGGAAGCAAGCAGGGAAGTAAAAGAGAGGATCGATATGATACTCCACTTTGACTAAGACTGAGTCAGCTCAAGTATGGACTTGCAGTCCATGGCTCGCGCTTGGGTTTTTGATGAAGTTGATCTATTAAACGTTTTGGGTTCTTTTGCTAAGTTTTCCGATGACTTTTAACTTGTATGTTGCTTTCGACCAATCAGAACAAAGACCAATATATACGAAAATTTTTATTGCAAAATAAGTTGAGGTTTCAGTTGGCTTGAACAAGCAGCAGTGGTAGAAGTAAGGGCTAAAGTAAGTTTATCAAAGCAACATCGTAACACACATTAATTTGGAATTACAAAGCACGACAGTTTGTAATTAACATTTGTGAACATTTGAACATTGTAATGTTGAAAAACAATTCATGCAATCCGGCTAATTTATATTCATTTTTATATTACATTTTTCGTTAAATAACTCTTTTTCAGTTATCTTACTGACTGTCATGCGTTTTCCTGAGTTTTCTTGCAAACTTTCTTCATAGAACGCGCGTTTCTTCTTTTGTCAAGATTTTTGGAGTGATCACACTTCAACGCTGAAAATTGCAGAGACTATGAAATGGTTTACTTCATGAGCGATTTCCTGTTACTACAAAGGTTTCGTTTTCCAATTAGTTGAATTTGGGTCCGAAAAATTAACTTCCACATTGAAGAGAAAATCCTTTGAGATGGAAAGATTGAATCTCTCAAGCAGAGATGATGACTATATACTAGAGACACGAGTATATAAAAATGATAATGACTTTCACGCTTTAAGGAAAACTGAGTGTAAAGTATGAACAAGAAAGTCGAGCGTATAGATAATAGCAAGCTACTAACGTACTCGATAATTTAAGCATCTCATACAAGAGTGTAAGCAAACATAACGCGTGGATAATCATAGTGCGTTTCACTTATAACTCAGGTGGATGCGTGCAGAACACAGGTAAATGATCACATAAATTATCACATAAATGATCATGTCACAGTGACATATGGTCTTGTTTGTATATGCCTATAGAGCTAAAGTAATATATAGAGGATATTACACGGTGGCGAGAAGATATGAATTTTATGTTCGAGTGGCCACTCGGGTCCCGGATGAAGTGGCGTATGGAATCTACGAGTGGTTTAGTTCCCAGTAAAACACTCTTCTCCATATAATAATAATCTATACATCACTTTGTATCTTTGATAAAGTTCTTTAAAGCCCGAAAACAACTTGTACATAAAATACACTCCAACTAATGAAGTCAGTTTATTAAAATGGTTAGGAGAAATAGAATGATGGTCACTTCAAGATTAATGATCCACATAACACTATTGGCGCGTATCCCGCGCACGCCTGGGTTTTCACTCTAAGTATCTTAAACGTCTGATATCACCTCGCACCTATGTCTTTTTGTTTTCTGATCTTTGCTTCTTGTTGTTCTTCTTTTACCTGTCCCTTATAAAACTTACACTTATAAATCACCTTCAAGTGTGATTCAAAAACCCAGGGCTTTTTTAGTTTAATTTCTACTCAAGGCATTTTAATGCTTGCTTTTTACTTCACTTTGTTAAAGGTGAACGAATTTTGACTTTGAAAGTGTCATCTTGTTTAACGTCTGCTCTTTTGTGAAGAGGAAAAGTATAGTTGCCTTAAATTTTGAATCACGAAATTAACAAAGCCACCAATTTGAAGGACGGTGTCCATACATGATTACTCCAGGTTAACGCAAAAGCTCGAAGGAGACTAGCCTTGAACTGGTGGAACTAGTTGGTGTGTAAGCGTTGACCTTGAAAAATTACAGATCACCCCAAAATAACGACCCAAGTAAGCCGAATTTTCAATTTACGAGGTAGCAGAACAACTTAAAAATTAAGCTAACCTTAAATGCAATTCAAGTAACCTTTTGTTCTAAGCAACGTAAACTAAACTTGAAAGCTGAAAGTTGCAGCTTGAATACCATCACGATTCCACCCTCGAAAGTTCCACCGAATTAAGATTACCGTATACCTTCAGGGGTGTCTCGCGTGCAAGCGATATTGTTTTTTATTATTATTATTATTATTATTATTATTATTATTATTATTATT